GCCTTACTAGTAGTAACAAGAAGCTAGTAGTAACAAGTGCCACGCTAGTAGTAACGGGTGCCGGATCGTTCCATGGAAGCAAAGCCCTCCCCGATCTTTCGTCGGCTCGCTCCGCTGGACGGCTCGGCGTGGCCCCGCACGACTCTCACGAGAGCTACAACTAGCTGAGACGAATTGGCAGACTGGCCCTGTGGGGAAGTTGTCCAAAAACCGGACGGCATACGTGTCAGAAGCAAAGGTCTTAAGACTGAGAGGCATGTTGGGTAGAAGTCTAGAAGCAATTAGGTACATTCAAGTTGACGATTCCTTAGGATGATGAGGGTGAACTACCCCTCAGTTGGTCTCTTTGAATTCGTCCAATAGTGATTTTCATTTCTGAAACCCCAAACATCAGTGGAACCTGCAAACGACATAGTCGTTACAATCGTCATTGCATTTCAAGTTCCAGTCTGCGTAGAGGGAACCATTGCTAGGTTCCCTTTTGTCAGCACTCTGATCGGGTCTTGCTTTGAAGACCTTTTTTGATCAGGTCGACCTCTAGGAAGGGCTCTAATTGGTTCCAGTACACCGGGTGTGCACCAGCAAGTTCAAACATCCGCCAGTTGGGCTTCACATCGCTCGTGCGCTTGCGATCGGGAAGCGATGAAATGTGGGTTGGAGGCCATTGCTAGTAACAAGAAGCAAGTCTAGGAGCATTTCGGGCATTGCTACTAGCAAGTCTAGCAAGGATGCTACGAGGGCTCCTGGCCTTACTAGGAGCAAGGACGCTAGTAGTAACAAGTGCCACGCTAGTAGTAACAAGTGCCTTACTAGTAGTAACAAGAAGCTACGAACGGGGCGACCCTGGCCTTACGAACGGAGCTGTTTCGGATATTTCGGTTCCTTGGCACCCTCTGGCGATCCACGGCATCAGCCTGTGTTTCAGCTGATTCGGCTGCGGTGACACGAAGCACACGTCGGCCAAGGGACACCGGGAAGGACAGGAAAGGCCGGTTTCCCGATCTGCGATGATGGTGGAGGCCATCGCTAGTAGGTTGTTTGAAGCTGTTCGGGAAGGCAGAAAGAACCACCTTCCTAGACAACGGTGTGGCTGCGAGATGATTCAGGTGTTGAGGTCCTTTTGGAACATCTAAAACGTCTCAAAGATCTGATATGAGGCGCGTGAGGCTTCAGTAGCAACACGATAAGGTACCACTTCTCCTGACTGTCCCATCACCTTGTCAAGATAAAGCTCCAATGAAGAATCGAGAGGCACATGCTATGTGACCAATCGCATTAGCTCTGTAGAGATTCCAAACCAACTGATGCATACATCTGCCGCCCTAGAGCTTCCTGGCACATCAAAATGGATATCAAAAACCAAGCGCTGCATGCATACTCCGTGCATTAAGAGGTGAAATACCGCGACATGCTGAAAGGACCAAGCATAACTTTTGACGGATGTTTGCAAATGAAAAACATTGAAATCGAGATGTTTGATTGCTAGATTGGCCATCGCAAGAGAGAGAGAGAGAGAGAGAAGGGCACTTGAGATTGATCAAACTGGAAACCCTCCAGCTTCTGCAGTTTCAAGCGAAATAGTATGGGGACGGCTGGCGGCTGGGTCAACCGAATTGTACGAAGAGCATGGTACTGGAGCACCCGGAAGTAGGTTCAAGCTAAGAACTTTTCTGTCTTTTAATGTAACATGTATAAATGCATAGCTACTTGCATAGCTACTTGCATATAGCTTGAAGAATTCTTTTGACCATACGAAATCGTTGCCGCCCGTCACTTCGTCTTCGACCTCTTTAGACGCGCAAATGAGGCCGGTCTTTCCTCTCCCGACGGGTCAGGGAGCCGCGAGTGTCCGCACAAAGCGCGCAGGAGAGCCTGGTGGAGAACGACGTTGAACGGTGTGGTTTTCGCCAATGAACACAGTAGGGGGGTTCTCTTTCTCCTTTTTGCGAGGGTGGTGGGTGGTTTCACGGTTGCCATTGACATGAAAACACTTTCGTCAATATCGATCCTACACATTTGTAGACGAACTGGCTGTCCAAGCACTTGCATCTCTTGTATCTTGCCTAATCACACGGATGAACTGCCCTGCACATTTCCTTGGCCTGTCGGTTGTGTTCCCCAGACTGTGGCTCAATGGTCATGGATCTGGATTTGGAAACCTATGAAAGAAACGACAAACACCAGAAATGAGGTAAGAAGCTACTAGGTGGAGGCCATCGCTATTAGCTAGGAACAAGAAGCTATTAGGGGCTCCTGGCCTTACTACTAGTAAGGACACTACTAGGGGCTCCTGGCCTTACTACTAGGAGCAAGGACGCTACGAACGGGGCTTGGCATCGCTACGAACGGAGCATTCTTACTACTAAGAACAAGAAACAAGAGTTACTCGGCTTCCCATCTCCCAGTCTCGTGTCTTCTTCCCTCACGCTGTCACGTTGCCCCGTCACCCATGTGAGCTGTGTGAAACACTTTCATGACAGATCTCTTAGCTTCGACGAAGTAGATGTCACCATGTCTCGATCGCCCAGATGAAGAGCAAAGAAACATGCACAACACATTCCAGGATGGCCATTGCTAGAACGTCTCTGTCGCGAGACCACCTCGGCCGTGTCGCCTCTGCCACGTCGCGTCGCGTGTCGCGTCGCTCGCTCGGCGTGGCGCCTCTGGGCGAGGCCCGTGGAGAGATGATGGGCGACACGTGGAGCTCCATGGAGCGCACGTTGGCCTCGGACGAGGAGCAATTGGCATCACGACTCGAACGGAGCGATCGGACGCTACGAACGGGGCTCCTGGCCGTACTACGAGTAACACGAAGCTAAGTACGGGTTCAGGAGTAGGGGCAGAAGGAGAAAAGGGAAGTCACAATTCTTGGTTGGTCGTTCTTAGAGGGAGCTCGGCACAATTGGATGAACAAGCGAGATCCTTGAGTAACAAATGAAACTCAGAACCAACCTCAAGCAGCTCAATCTCCACAGTCGTTCCAATCTCCTTAAAGATCTCAATCTCCAAACTGTCTCTGTCACAGCCGTTCCCAGCCCCTCCCAGCTGCCTCGGCCGGCATCGAGACTAACTGAGGTGTGACCAGCTGTGGCAAGGGCAGCTGCGGCACGTGAAGCCTCGGATCGCTGTGACAGCGGCTGCCTGCTTAAATCTAAAGCAAACTATTCAACTACATGTGTTTTTTTGTACATATATTGCATTCTTTTCTTTTAGATATGTTTTTCTTTTTGTTGTGCTCACTTTGTCCGAGAAAACAACACCAATTGCTCTTCTCTGAAGGCCAATACCCCGAACAATACAACTTCGACCTCTTCTCGGCCCCGGGCTGCGGCCGGAAGAGCCCAGCGTCCTGATGAGGTCAAGAGATTCACCGACAGAGTGCGACGCTCCCACATATTAGCGCATCAACAACATTCTGAAGAAAACACGTTCTTAAATATTCCTAACCTTTTTTGAACAATCATATGTCTCTTTAAACGTTTTGAGTTCTTTGGACCAAACCAGTTCGATTTTCTTCCACTTCGGTACAAAAGCTGATGCAGGCGGAAGCAAACCTCATTCTTCGCCAAATCTCGGTCTCAAGTCTCAATCAACAAATCAACATCAAACACACACACACACACACACCTTCACACCTTCAACCAATTGGGCCACCCCATGACTTGAACAAAACACATGGCAATGTGAAACAACGGTCGCTTCTTCGGTTGCCACCCCATGACGTCGACGTTTCGGTCGCCTTCATCGGTCTCTTCACCAAAGGCTCGTCTTCGTCCTTGGACCGGGTGATCTCTGCCTGGCGGGACAACGTGACACATGTGACTGGCCGAAATGCGGTCACAGTCTGAGCCATGATGTCCCCAATTCGCACGGAAATTCACCAAGTGAGATATCAATTTTCAAAGGATGCCACACGTTGGACTGCACTGGTGCCTCGATGGCACGCTTCCGTCTGCGAGGGCTGCTTTGGCAACAGCAGCAGCACATGGCACAACAGCCTCGCGATCGTCTCGGATAATTCATATTGGATGTCCTCCTTTGTGGTGACCTAAAAACTCAAAGAGCGAGGGATGTATAAAAGCTTGGATGATATCTCCGAATCTCTCGGCCATACCAGATTGGAATTCAATCCACTTCTCTCGAAAAGGCCAGGTGGCGAACCTTCCAATCTTCAGAGTTCCCCGCTGCTGCCGCCGATTCAGCACCAAGGCACATGCGAAGGCCACCACTGCCACCGCCGCAAGACACCAATACCAGCTGACGCCCAAAATCTTCTCAGGTACACGCATCCTGGATCTTCGACGACCGGACTCGAGGGACATCAACTGGCGTTGACAAATCTTCCGGCCCTCTTTGGAATTGTTTCCGGTTCCCCAAGACAGCTGGTTTGCCTGGGTTTACATGCTCATCCCACGTGTCAGACGGCTTGGACAAACCGCATTTCCCCCCAAAAGAGAATGCTTTTGCGTCTTCCATTTTGTGCATCTCCACCTCCGTCAGCTTTTCTTCGTTCTCCCCATCTTCTCCGCCCCCGATCGCCAAGTGGCCCCCCGGTGTATGGCACTTCCCAACCGGATTTGTTCACCTCAAAGCGATGGAGACGGATGGAGTGTTCGAGGTGAAACAAGGGGTATTAGTTCCAATTGTGAAGACCGGAGTTATACCCCTCACGATTGGATTTGTTCAAAGCAAGATCAATTCTTCTGAAACTTCTGGCCTATTTCGGAGCCCCCCTTCGCTTCTGTTGGATTCCGGAACCAAATCTCCCTCGTTCCCAGTCGGTGGTGGACAGATGTGGACAGCACCCTCCGTTCCCGTCTTCGTCCACGTGGCCCAAAGCGTCTCGTTGAAGCTGGAACCCAAGAACGGCACCACCGGTCCTCAAAGTCTGAACATCGCAAAACTTATGATTTAAATTTTCTATTTTTGGGGGAGTGAGATGGATTGTGAGGAACTATGCGACAAAACCCTTTCCAACATAACAACAACAACACCACAACAACAACAAAACAACAGAAAACCAACAAAACAACAACAAAACAACAACAACAACAACAACAAGTCTCTTTAATTGTTGTTTTATTTTTCGCCCGCGCGGGGGGTAGGGAGCTAGAGGTAGGTGGCTAGTAGAAGAGGTAGCTAGTAGCTAACAAGTAAGCTACTACTAGCATGGACGCAGGATAGCTCACGCTTCCTCAAGGAAGCCCCCCCCTGCCGCCCTAAAGGGGGGGAAGCTTTCTTGAAGAAGCGCTCGAACTATTCGTTTTGGATCCTAGATGTTTTGGGAAACTTAAGGTTGGAGGCCATCGCCATCGCTCTTAGGTTGGAGGCCATCGCTATTAGGTTGGAGGCCATCGCTCTTGGGTTGGAGGCGATGGA